ACAGTTACAAATATCTATGCATTGAGTGTTGGCACCCACAACTTAATAAAACAAAAACTACTGGACACAAAAGGAGAGACAGACACCAATACACATCATAGTGGATCACCACCCACTCATAATTAGGTAGGTCAATCAGACAAAACATGAACAAAAGATATCAGAGTTCAGTCATACCATCAAACAAATGAACTTAACAGATATCTACAGTGTTTCATTCAACAACAGTAGAATACACATTTTCTCAGCATTATGTGAGATTTTTTTTTTCCAAAAAGACCACGTCTTAGGCCATAAAGCATGCTTAAATAAGTATCAAAAGAACTGAAATAATCTCTGCACCCTACAGAATCATAGTGAAATGAGCTAGAAATCACAATAAGAGAAATTACAGAAGCATATAGCAATTAAACAATAGTGAATAACCACTGGATCACAGGAGAAATCATAAAACAAATTTAAAATTTCCTATAATTAATGACCGTGGGAGCACAACATATCAAAATCTGTGGAATATATAAAGCAGTTCTAACAGGAGAGGTTATAGCTGTGGAAGCTATAAGAGCAAAAGAACAGTAAAAGATTTGAGCAATTTCAAATAAATGACACACTGCATCTCAGATCCCTAGAATACTACATCACTCCAAACTCTACACTTAATAGAAGGAAAAGAATTATAAAGATTAGAATGGAATTAATGAAACTGAGACTATGAAAAAATACAAAGGATTAATTTATCCAAGAGTTGATTCTTTGAAAGGATAAACAAGATTGATAAAGCCTAAGCCAATCTTACCAAAAAAGAAAAAAATCAACGCAATTAGAAGTGAAACCCTAATCAACACCAATAAACTCCAGAGGATTATAAGAAACTACTTCAAAAATGTACATTCCAATAAATTAGAGAATCTATAAGAAATTCCTAGACACATATGAAGTACCAAAATTGAGCTAAGAAGATATAAAAATTTTGACTAAATCAATAACAGGCAACAAAACAGAGGCAGTAATAAAGTCTCTTACAATCCACCCCCCTCAAAAAAAGCACAGAACCTGCAAGATTAACAGCAGAATTCTACCAGAATTTCAGGTAAATTGAAAGGGAAGCTAACATTATCACATTATCCTGAGATGAAAAACAGACAAAGACTTTAAAAAAAGAAACCACAAGTCAACTTCCTTAATAAATATACATGCAAAAATCCTTAATAAGATATTGGCAAACAGAATGCAGCAAATCATTAAAAAATCATATATTATGACCAAGTTGGCTTCATCCCAGAGATACAAGAATGGTTTAACAAACAGGAGTCAATAAATGTAATACATCATATAAACAGAGGCAGTGACAAAAATCTCAAGATCAAGTTGGGCATGGTGGTGCATCTTTGTAAACCCAGCACTCAGGAGGCAGAGACAGGAGGATTTCTGTGAGTTCAAGATGAGCTAGGCTATAAATTGGGCTACATAGTGAGTTCAAGGCCAGCCTGAACTATGCATATAGTGAAAGCTTACCTCAAAAAAACAAACAAACAAACAAAAAAACACAATCCAACCAATCACAAGATCATCTCAATAGACACAGAAAAAAGCCATTGACAAAATCCAGCATCCACTCATGATTAAAAACCCTAACAATAATAGGTATATAAGGGCCTTACTTTAAATTCATAAAAGTCATTTATGAAAACAAACACTGCCAATATCACACTAAATCAAGAAAATCTGAAAAATTCTCCTCTAAAATCAGGAATAAGATAGTTTCCACTTTCAACCATTTCTGTTCAACATAGTGCTCAAAACTTTAGCCAAAACAATAAAGCAAAAGAAAGAAAAGGGATTTACATAAGAAAGAAAGAAGGAAAACTATTCCTATTCATAGATGCCACAATTATTTACTAAGAAGACCCAAAAAGTGCACCAAGAAGACTCCTTGAAGTAATAAAGTTAGCAAAGTTTCAGGATAAGAAATCAACACACAAAAATCAATGTTTCTATACATCAACAATGAACCTACCATGAAAGAAATTAGGAAAACAGTCTCATTTACAATAAAAATTGAATACTCAAGAATTAACCCAACCAAGGGAGTGAAAGACCCCTGTAACAAAAACAATAATGTCAGGGACTGGGGATTTAGCTCAGTGGCATAAGTGCCTACCTGGCAAGTGTGAGGTCATGAGTTTGATCCCCGGTACCACCAAAAAAAAAAAAAAAAAAAAAAAAAAGAGAGAGAGAGAGAGAAAGGACATAAAACAAAAGAATTCAAGAAGGTCATACTGTTAATAATACAAAAACAATAGTGTCTCTGAGAAAAGAGATTGAAGAGGACATCAGAACCAATATTGTCAAAGTGCTACATTACCAAAACTGATTCAGATTTAATGCAATCTCAATATGATATCAAACAGCATTTCTCACAGAAGTAGAAAGAGTGATTTTTATGGAATCCAAAGAGACCTAGGGCTGGGGATATAGCTCAGTGGCATATGAGCCTGCATGCCAGGTGCCAGGTCCTGAGTTTGATTCCTGTTACAAAAAAACCAACCCATACCAAACCAAACCAAACCAAATCAAACCAAACCAAACCAAACCAAAACAAAACAAAACAAAACAAAACAAAAGAAAAAACCCAGCACAGTAAAAGTAATCCCAAGCAACAACAGCAAACTAGGGAGGATAATCCTGTTGAAATACAGCAGCACTTGAAATAGTTGTTACAAAGTCACAATGATAAAAATCAGTACAGCACTAACAGAACAGAATAGAAGACACAGGAACATTTAGTCATCAGACCCTTGATAAATGGACTAAAAAGACACTGGCTGGAGAAAACATAGCCTTTTCAACAAATGGTGCTGGGAATACTGGTTACCTACATGCAGAATGAATCTAGACCCATATCTCTCACCTTTTACTAAATAAAATCTAAATGGATCAAAGACCAAAATATTAAAATGAAAACACAGAATCTTCTGGACAATGAATTAGCTAAAACTCTTGAAGACAGACATACCTAAGAACTTTCTGAACAGAATCCCAACTGCATAAGACATAATATCAAGACTCAATGCATGTGTATGGCAAAGAAAACAACTTACGAAGTGGAGAGACAACCTACAAAATGGAAAAAAATTTCTGCCAGCTACTTCTTAGACCAAAGACAAGTATTTAGAATATATACAAAAACTCAAAAAAGAAAGACAAGAGAAAGTGAGAGATTATACTGCAAAAAAGAAGACAAAATAAAAAAATGAGCAATTGAAATGAATAGATATTTCTCAGAAGAAGTAAAAATAGCCAATAGGAACATGAAAAACATTCTTAGCATTTTTGGTTAGTAGAGACCTACAAATCAAAACACTGAGATTCCATCTTACTCCAGAAAGAATGGCTGTCATCACAAACTCAAAAAAAAAAAAAAAAAAAAAAAACCCAACAACAACAACAAAAAACAGATGCTAACAAGATCATGGAGAAAACAAGAGCACGACATATAAATTTAAAGAGTGAAATAAAATACAGACAATAGACAGTGAGAAATAGGAAAATAAACATTTTGCAGAAGGATAGGGCATCAAGGAATGAATGGAGGTGGGAGGAGGGTAAGACAAAGGGAAGAAAAAGGACCAAGACACAATATGCATACTTACCACTGCTCCACAATGGATGTACTCATTATATGCTGCAAACTAACACTAATAAAAGTGGATGAAAAAACAATAGAGGAGAGAACAAAAGATGTTTTCATCAAGGAAACACATTAGAAAAAAAGTTTAAGAAAACATGAGCACAGTGTGTTCTATGATGCTAAAAGCATCCTGATTTTAAAATCTCAGAGACAGCATCCCTGGAGAGCTGGGATGCAGTGCAGATCAGTGCCAGGCAAAAGTGCCTTAGCCAAATCCACTCTACCTCAGATCGTTGTGTATAGACAATGAGCTCAGAATGCATTTTATAGGATTTTAAATCACTAACAAAATACTATTTCACATGACATGTGAAAATTATGTAAAATTCTAATTTTAGTGCCCTTAGAGAAACTTCAATTGAAACACAACCAAAAATATTGTCTATGGCTGCTTTAGCTACAAAGTACAGGTAAGTAGTAACCATACTGGCAGTTAATCTTGATTGCCAACCTGAGTGGGTTAAAAGACTCTTGAAGAGGTAATTGGATTTCAAGGGCACTCACTTCACCACTGAATGAACACACCAACGAGTTCTTAGTTGAATGTATTATTAGGGGGTGCAGCCTATTCAGAGAAAGGGGTTGCACCTGTATCTGGCAGTTTAGTGCTACTCCTGTGTACCTTTCGTGTCATGCATAACACCTTTTATGCCACCTGTGGCAAGAGCTGTTTTGCTCCTCCCCTGGCCTTTAGAACAGGTATGACAGTGCCTTCCAAGGGCTTTACACTGTTGTCAGCATGCCCTCAGCAATACGAAAGCTGCCCTTGAGTGAGTGAGGAGTTTTTGTTATTTTTTAACTGGTTGCTCACTCATAAATATTTTGCCCCTGTTAGAGCACAAAAAAGGTATAAAGGCAAATAGCTTGCCAAGCTTCTAACTTGGGAAGTCATTTGGCTAACCAAAGGAGTCACAAGAGGTCTTAATATAATAATTAAGAGCTCAGCTTGGAAAATTCCATCAGCCTTTCAATGTCAAAAGCTCTAAAGACTTGCACTTTAAGTGAATAGTCAATTAAAAGTCCTCAAACTAGAAAAGAAGAGAAACATGGGTATGAAAAAGGGGGCAGGCAGCAAGGACACTGCCCAGGGCTCTAAGGGGAATCAAGGGGGGTTGTCCAGGAGGCCCTTTACTATCCGTGCCTGGGCTCAGAGCACTGAAGAGAGGCCTCACTTGGTCTCCGGGGCATGGAAAAAATTCTTACAAAATGTTTTGACTTAGGATTAACTGGCTCAGAAGAGAGAGGTTCCCTAAAGGAATGCCATGTTGGTTATAAAAGCCCACTGCAGAGGATCTTCTGTTTTTCTTACCCTTGCCGGATCAAATCATATGTGACGGTGGTAAAATCACTGGGATCTGGAGAAGTCACACAGGTATCCACGAAGAGCCACACATTAGGGTTGGAGCTATGGAGGGTGACCTGGAGGAATACCTCTTCCCTCTGGTTGTCATAGTATGCCATGTGCCCACCATGTTGGGATGCAGGTAACTGACGAAATATAATGGACACATCGTAGCTGGCACCTTCTGTCTGGGTGTCATCAGCCTCATGAATGACTTCAACAGCAGATGGGCTGTCCACTCTGCAGGTGAGCTTCACCTGGGGCACCTTGTGCCGAACAATGACTCGGCCAGGGTGGTCCCGTAGATGGCCTCTGATGGAGTTGGAGTAGCTGAGAGAGCCCAGATGTTTCTGCAAGGATGAGAGGACAGTTTGATGGCCAGGATTCCTGGTTCCCAAACAAGCTAGTGAAAATATTTCACCTTTCTACTGCAGCCCAGCACCAGTTGGTCGATATCCTGGGAGGCAGGAGCACCTGGCCAGACCTCTGTGGTGCTTAAGGCCGTGAAAGGATGACATAATGTGTGAGGAGCATTTCCCAAATTGATAGGTTCCTTCCTTCCTAGGTTAGGTGGTGATGCCTGAAGCTATGTCTCCTACCTCTCTCCAGATACCCTATTGTTTCAGAGGCTGAGGAGGAGCTGGGGACTTATAGGCAGGGGCCACTACCTCGCTCTGCTTTCTTCCTATGCCTTGTGTGGACACTCAGAGGCTCACTTTAGCCAGAGGCCTTTGCTCCAGGGAGTTTCAGCTTTCATGACTCAGATCCTGTGACTTTCTGTCTCACAACTCTCCAAGGACTGCTCATCTGTTAGCATAGACCAGTCTTGTTCCACCATTTCCCTTTCATGGCCCTCAGAAAGAGTTTTGTAGATTCTTCTTTCTTATTCCACCTGTTGTCTCTCTCAACCCAAGTATGAAAGTTTAATTCGACAAATTGTTTGTGAGATATATATAACTGCTTTGGCCCCTAAGAATGAGCATACATTCCCCCACGAGGGCTATATTGCCCTCTTTGAGAATGCACAGTTTAGAATAAAAGCCAAATTCCAAGGCCATTTGACCCTCCCACTTCCAATCTGATGCTGCCCCCAATCTCTTCTTCAAGCCCTCCAGCTTCCTGCTGGCCCTGGAACCTGCACTAGCCAGAGTCCTACATGGCATGCTCCTTCTGTCCCTTTCCTAGCTTCTTCAACTCATCATTCAGTTGTGATTCTTTAGCTTCCTTTCCACCCTCTCAAGCTCTCTGTTTTGCTGTCTTCTTTACCTTCTTCATCATAAAAAGGATTTTCATTTGTATGCTTGTGCAGTACCTGTCTCCATTTGCTTGAATGTAAGAGCCATGGGCCAGGGATCCGTATCCTCAGCCCCTACGAGGTTGTTCACTTACTGACTCAGGACCTTCCCATGACACTGTTTCCTTAGGGTGGCCTGGGACCAGGTATCACCCCACATGGTTGCTGACTCTGCTATGTTTGGCTCCAGTGCATAGGCCCTTCTGGGGGAGCTGGGCCAGACAGGCCCTTCTGGGGGAGCTGGGCCAGACAAAGGACATTTACAGGGCCCTCCTTGTGACTTCTGGGAGCCACTATTCTCCCAGACACTGGGGACTTCCAGTATGTCTCCTGGGGTACAATCCTCTGAGGTAAAGAGTAAATTTTCAGAGAAAGATGGTAAGAATGATCATGATGTACACACTCAAGTAACAGATAAAATGTGAAGTATGGAGTTAGATTATTTAGCATTATGCACTATTTGAATGAATCTAACTTGCAAAAGTGAGATTTGGGGATATGTCTAAACAGAGATGCAAAAGAACAAGAACAGCATGAAGAGTTTGATTTGGAAAATCTTTCATTGTTAAATATACCAAGACAAAAGATACCATATCTGTATACTTTCCTTAGGTCTTTGGTAAACTCATTCCCTTCTTTTGCCATTGTTTTGTGAAACAAGCATGCATTCAAGGAAAACTGAACAGACATTAAGCAGGCTTATTATTCACAAGTATTATAGATGCATATTTTCTGGAAATGTAGAATGTAGCTACTTAGTTAGAAACATAATCAGATAGATGGACACTCTATGGCTTCCATTCATAGATGGTACCACCTCCTGGTCAGTTCCTTACCTGCTGGACAGTACCACAGTGGCCATAAGGAATGTTGAAGATCAGGTAATTCCCAGTGACTTGGGGACGACACAGCTTATCATTTAGGTGGATGTCCCAGGAGGAATACCCCAGTCTCCGGAGGTAGCCTCGGTCAATGACAGCTTGGAATTGATGGGGCAAGCAGGAGAGCTGAGCTGTAGGAGGAGGAAGATCATCACAAGGAGAACCTGCTGTATTGTGTGTATAAGCCATGGATTGAGTGAATGTTTATTTTCTAAAAGTCTCATGGATAGTGCTCTGGGCTGGTGCTGGCTCAGTTCTCTTCACCCTCTAGCCTGCCCTTCACTTTCACTGATTTTATTTACATCCCCTCTCTTCAAAAAGGCTATTAGCCCATCCTACATCCAGCAGGAAAATCCTACACACAGCATGTGTCCCATTAGTCACAAGTCAGAGCCCATGTAAAGATTAAAGGACAGCTCACTTCCCATGGTGAGAACACCTGAACCCAAACATGTGTTCATCTGGGCCTTTACATGGAAGGAAACTGAAGAATTAGAGGAGACACAGAGGGAAGGAGCTTGGGAACAAAGGTACGACTTCCCCAATCTCCTAGAGCCCCACACACAGATGAAAGTGAGAGATCTCAGTGGAAACACAACAGCCAATCCCCCCTTGAAGCCTGTTCTTTCTTCCACACTGGCTTCTCTCTTAGCTCCTTCTTTCTCAGGGTGAGAGAGTGACTTTACCTTTGTGCTTAGGTACAACAGAGTTAGCTGGACCTGGTTACGGGAGATAATAAAAACAAGTGTCAACAGAGCTGAAACACTGCAAGAGGTCATTATAACTAGCAGTAGATGAAAAACATACGTGAATGGGCTCACTATTTAGGCTAAAATAATCAGGGCATGAAAATATTCCAGATCATGCAGAGGAGAAGAGGGCCCAGAGTCTCCTGCTGGAGCCAGGTTCTGGCATATGTGAAGTAGTGTTGAGAACACACCACTTCCTCAATTCCAAGATTTGTTAGAGCAAAAAAATAGTAAACACAAAGCTTCAAAGAATATAAACACTGTCATATCTATAAACTCTATCTGGTGCCCTTTTCCACACATGTGGCATATTTTGGGCCTCAGACTGGGAATGACTGAGTCTATGACCCTCAATCTATGCTCCTCAAGGGCTGCTCTAGCTTAGAAGCAAGACAGGACAGTTTCCCAGGGCAAAGACTCAGCTTAGGAAACATGACCAGAGAGATTCATTCTACTCCTTGAGACATCCTGGGCCCCAGACTATTGATACTTCAAACACTGTACTACATGGAACGAAGCTTCATTGGTATATAATCAGAGAAAGGAAAATGAGTTGTCATGGACAGTGGGTCCTCTGACAGCACCAGGACTGGACTGGACTAAGAAGAGACATCGTAAAAATAAGGCTCTTGAAGGTTGACTCCAGCAACAAACTCAAACCACTTGGCTCTCTGCATGATTAAAATCTTTAGGTGCTTTGACAGCTTTCCTATTTGGGTCCCAGGTCTAATCAAAATACCTACATAGAGGTAAAAGCAAGGGTAACAATTCCTTTGATCACTTGCAAAAAACTAAAAATGGAACAGACAAGGTGAGCTTAGACTTGTGTGAGTCTTAGAATTTCCTAACTTCTTGAGATTTGCACAGATGAATTTAGGGCAAACTTAGGACAAACAGGAAGTACTATTGCATAGAGCAGGCAGTGAACCTATGCAAGTCAGATTGTCAAGAAGTTGGATGACAATAAAATGTATTTCAGAAAAGATACAGGCCAAATCTTGTATGCACAGAGCACAGGAGAATCTAGGGCACTGTAGGGTATCCCTGGGACTTCTGAGAGTTAAGGCAAGGTGATGCAGTGTCCTCTGAAACGGCTGTGTCCTTCAAGCCCTCCTCAGAGTTTGAAAAGGGATCTTAGACAAGCTGTAGTTCAATACCAGCATCAAGTTCTATGCTCCTGATCATTTCATGACACTGTCACCTGTTCTTTTGATCTCATAATCTTTTACCTACTGCAGAACGAATGCTGCAATTAGATAAAACTGATCAGTTGCCAACCTGGATGTTGAAACTCTTCATGACCAGGAGGAGTATTTAGCCAGTTCCCTTCGTTATGCTAAGAGATGGACACTTCACCAAGCCTTATGCTACGGGGTGGGGGGTGGGGTGGTGGTAGTGGCGGTGGTGAATGGTGGTGCTCAGGGACCCCTAGGGCCCCGGGGAGCACCCTTGCGAGCTGCACCTGAGCAGACCACGCCCGCATCCTCCTGGTGCCGGCAGTCGTGGCGCGCCCAGCCCGCGTGGCTGCAGCGCTCCAGCGCGTCCTCGGTGCCTGTGCAGCGCACGTCGTCCAGCAGAATGGGTCCCGAGCCCGGGCCGAAGCGACCACGACCCGGGGAGCCCAGGGCGCGGCCGCAGCCCAGAAGGCGGCACACGACGCGGGCATTCTTCATGCTCCAGAAGTCGTCGCACACGGTGCCCCACTCGCCCTGGTACCGCACCTCCAGGCGGCCCTCACAGCGGTTCTTCCCGCCCGCCAGGCGCAGGGGCTTCTCTGTAGGGCAGGAGAAGTCGGTGGAAGAATTAGCGCTGGGTGAATTCCATTTCTGGCTTTGCTGTCTGCTCCCGCCCCCGTATGTTAATTCTTATCCCGTCTCTCTGTTTCTTTCTCTTTTTCTGCCTCTGTCTCTTTTCCCTTTCCCTCCTCCCTTCCCTTTCCAACCCCCCACCCCCATGCGGATCCGTTTCCTAGACATCCAAGTACCTAATCCAAAACTCAGTAGCTGAGGGTGGGGTAGATGCTTGCAATCCCAGTGCTGTGGGAGGCTAAGGCAGAAAGATCACAAGTTCAAGTTCCACCTGAGCAACTTAGCAAGATCCTGCTATAATAATAACAGTAATAATAAAGGAGCAGGGGACATAACTCAGTGTGAAGGACTTGAGTTCAATCCCCAATACAGGATGGGGATGGGTAAAGGATATGTATGTAAAAATCAAACAAAACCTTCCAAATCCTTGAAATATAATTGCTCTAAATTGAGGCACTAACATGACTCATCAAACAAAATATGTTCTATGAAATTATTTTTACTCTTAGGGAGTAACTGTGAATAAATCTACGTTACATAACCTGGTTGTCCCACTCTCGTGTATTCACCAAGCAAGAGCAAACATATGCCCACAGAAAGATTTGTGCATAGCAGATTTCTCCACAGTAACAAAAACTGAAAACAGCCCAAGGCCTATCTACAGAGCTATGGATATTTTGTGGTCTATGCGTACAGTGGAATATTACTAAGTAATGAAAGAAATACGTCACCAGTATGTGGACCCACACAGATGAATCTCAGAAACAATGAGACTATGAGCATGGCTCAGTGGTAGATGCAAGTAAGCCTGGGGCCCTGCATCCCAGCACCAAAAGAAGAGGGAGATGGGGTGAGGGAGAGGAAAAGAACAAAGAATGTGAACTGTGTATCCAGGTAAGTACCTTCTGATTAGGGCCTTGGGAGGGTGAATTTAGGCTTCTAATCTATAGTGTGTATATCTGCACATACATACTTACAAACTCATAATTATCTTTTGCAAATAGTAGGGAACTTAAAATAAAAAAGAAATATAATCCTAATGGTATTAATAGATATAGGGTCATTTTAATGATTAGGAATAAAACAAAAATTACCAGGTAAAGGGATCATTTCTTCGATTGAAATTGTAACTGTAAAAAAAGTAAAGAAATAAAACTTTTAGAAATGCTTGCCTTCAAACTCATTTAGGTTCAAACCCCAGAACCAAAGGTTTTCTCTAATTTCAGACATTAATACTTTTGTTTTGAATACAAAAATCCTCCATTATTGTTAGCATCAAAATGTAACAAGTGGTGTCAGATAGCCTTTATCCTTCAAAAATAAAATGATTAAGTAGTCATAAAGAAGTCATAATGAAGTTTTGAAAAGAAGAATTTAAAAACCACTAGATTTTATAGGAGACATTTTTATAGAGGCTGAAAATGAAATCAAAAACTCAAATAAGAGAGAAGTCATGTATAAAAGATGTAATTCTATACTAAAGTATATGAAGCAAGGCAGGAAATTTAACAGTAGATTTTATAACAATAAATTATAAAATTTTAGTGTTAATTTAGCAATAGACATATGATCATTACCAGGTGATGGTGTCATTTGCATTGAAAGTGAGTCTTTGGCTGCCAAAAAAATTAGTGAAAACAAAGCATTAAGTTTGATTTCATTGACATTTTTTATACTGTAGACTACAAATTTATGAAAACCAGCCTATTTCATAAGCAGTGTACATTCATTTTTTGTGAATTTGCTTGTTCGGGAATGAAATAGTTTTACAAGAAATTGGTGTTTTGCATGGTGGATCAATAACAATTCTCATTTAAGCAATGGCAATGCATCAGATCATTTATGACTCTAGTCCTTATGACTAATCCAGGTACATATTACCACCATTTTAGAGATAAGGAAATAGAAACTCAGAGGAATGATATAATATGATCAGGCCACCTATCATTCAAACCTGTAAAGTCTCAAAATACATACTTTTTTCTAACTATTCTGCTTTTCAGAAGCGTAGGGTGTGAGATTTTCATTCACCTTGGATTCCCTGTGGTGAATCAGGGCTGAGAAGGAAGGAAGGTAAGGATTATGGCCACATATCTGCCTGCACACTCCAAGAAGCACTTCCTCCTACAGGAACAGGAAGTGACTTGGGCTGCCATATTTTCATAAAGGAAGTAAGATTTATGAGTGTCACCTAATCTATGTGTAAGACCAGGTTACACAGTTGCCATGAACCAGGTCTACAAAGAAAAACTCACTTCATGGGATGTCAAGAGTCAATGAAGAAATTTCCTGACCAAAATGGAGTCATGACTGGAGTGGGAAAAAAAAAGGGGGAGAAATGGGGCATGGAATTGGGGTTATGAATAAGGCAAGGGGGGCAAGAAAGAGGGAGAGAAGGGGAAAAAGGAGAGAAGGAAGGGAGGCTATTAAATGCAAGTAAAAATGAAATACTAAACTTTGGTTTCACTGAGCTTTATCCCTATATATCTTCAGAGTAACCAGGATTTGAAAAAAAGGAAAGGTAAGAAAACAGTAGAGCCTTGTTTCTAAAGACATCTGAAGGAACACGCCTGCCACCAGCCTAGCTGAAGATTGGCAAGTAGATTTCAGTCATGTTCTTCCTGTTAAAAGAACAGGTTATTTACTGCTATTTTTACTGGACAGACAAAAACCTTACCCACTACCAATGAAAGGGTTTCTGCCGTGGCTAACATTCTTTTAACTGCGATCATTCTCAGCCTTCTCACAGTTGGATAATGGATCAGAATTTCCCTCTCAGATTTCTCAACATCTAGAGAATCACTTAACATAAATTGGCGTTTTTGTATTCCTTTTCATCCCAGTCATTGGGAAAAATAGAAAGGGCAAAAGGGATCTTAAGGAACACAATCACTGAACGCACAATCCAAACATAACCTTGGATTCACCTCCTACCCGTGGCCCTCCTTAAGCTGAGAGCTCTCCCCTGGAAACTCACCATGTTAAGCCTCTTTAAGATGATGCACAGAAGGCCACTTACCACTGGACAGTTAGATTTCAAATCCTAAGTGGACCAGAATTCCTCACTCTAAGTTCTCTACTCTTATTCCTGTTAAATACAACCCGTACCTCATTGCGGTCATATGCATCTTACCTTTCCCAAGGAGCCCTGCTGCCTAATGGGTTCAAGCTGTCATTCATGCCAGGCAAATGGGTCTACATGAGGGCATCACTAGAACCCTTGCACCCTAAATGGAATGGTGGACTTCAGCAAACAATCCTCACAACTCTGGTAGGCTCAGTTCTTTGTTCTAAAACTGATTAAACCTCCCCTTGTCTGCTCCCTCATAGGTCTCACTTTGATCAAGATCTCATACTTACTTCCAATAATAGAAACTGGTGACTGAGTGAATCTTTTCCCTCTGATTTATTTTAAAATATTTCTCATTCTGGCATAGGAATTACCCCTTTACTACCCCCTCACCCTGTATGATCTTTTAGAGATTCTTTGTGATCTCTAGCTTCAGGGATCCTTTATGTGACTCTATTTCCATACAAATTGTTTCTTTTCCTTTTGTATTCTCATTTTGTAGCAGAAAATGCCCTACCTTCAGCCAGTCTGTTAGTTGTCCAGGTAACAATTCCTGTTACAAGTTCCTATTACTTCTGTCTCCTAGAAATGGCTGGTCACTGTGATGCATATTATAGGAACTAATCAATAACTGGCAAACACTCTGCTTGTGTACTTCCTGCTTGCTTATCCCATATAAGCCCTAAACTTCCAAGGATCAAGGCTTGATATTTTGGGAATGATCTTGATTGCTATCAGTTGGTGAAAAGCAAATCTGCCTCCAAATCCCAGGTATCATTTCAATGTTTTTGTTTGCTGTTACAAATCTGTTTTCTGCCACTCACAACTCAGATTTCTTTCAGATTTAAAGGCTGCAGCAGCTGAAGTAACAATGAGAATGAACAGTCACTGCCAAAGAGTGGCAAAGTTCTTGCTAGTTCTTGAGAGTTGTGTGATTAGGGAAAGTATGGCAAATAATATGGTTTCATGCACCCATGCTTATGCACAGGTCCATGATGTCTTCCACTGCTAGGTGTGTGTAGAAATTCCCACAAGTGCAGAGGGAAGTCTCTCCCCTGACAACTTGCTTCAGTGACAGGTGAAAATTGAGCAGCTTTGTCTTGCTGAAACATGCAAGGAGCTGGTGGGAGGAACACTGCCAGGTCATAGAAACTTTGCTCCTATGTAGTAAAGCAGGTCAGCCACTCATAGGATATGCTTTCTCCAGTGGCTGGGGATGAGTAGTATCTAAATATGCTACCATAAAGAACCCTATTACATGGTGAACAATATTCTGATCCTAAGTGCATGATAGGATAGGTACGTGATTACCTGTGTCTTAAGATCACATATGCTACTATTCTTCATGTATGGTGGAACAGAGAAAAATATCATGAAACAGTTCCCACAGATATGGTTCCATCAGGACATATATGTGTGCAGCTAGTACAACTGACCTCATCTACCTGAAAATTGGGCAGAAAGATGCACATGGGTACATCTTTATATTCTTAGCTCTCTTCAGAACAATCTAAAAACTGGGATGCTGTTGTGGGTACCTACCAGAGACAAGGCTTGAGAACATACAGGGAGTTGATTTGCACTTGCAATGGGATACCACTGCATCCCAATGTAAAATATGTTTACCATATAAAACATACTCCTTGGTGGTCCTACCTGTGATCCTTCCAGGCACAGCTGCCAGTAAGATGGACTTGGATGTACAGGACTTTGCCTAATCCCTAGCCCATGCATTGAATGCCACTTGCAAAACTGTAACATTGTTAGCAGAAGAAACATACCAAATTAAAAAAATAGTTTTGCAAAATTGCATGCCTTTAGATCTCCTTATAGCTGCCCAAAGAGACACATGCTCCATGCTTCACAAAACATGTCATACTTTTATCCTAGATACTCGTGACAATGTGACAGCTCTGAGGAGAGAGACACAGAGGTACAAACAGGATAATAAATGTCCCAGGACCCCCTGCATGGACTCATAGAAGTCCACTTTCATAGTTCTGTTCTTTTCTTATTCACCTGTTTATTGGCATGGCTAATTAATGTTTCAAAGTTTTTTCATCAATGGGATTGCAGCTATTTTACAGGCAGTCTCTAAAGACAATGTCAGTATGGTCTTTCTTCTTCAGTCCAGACAAAATTTCAGCTGTCAGAGTCCCTAATTAGCAGTAACCAATTAAGGAGGAAATGCGCTGCCCATTTTCTTTATTTAACCATAGATCCTGGAATGAAGGAATTCAACCACCACCATTCTAGGCTGAATAGCAATCATGTTAAACCTCTTCCTCCTGCTATGCTTGTACACCTGCTGAAAATGTACAGTCATGGGTTCATAAGGCTTAGTCAGTACAGGTGTAACCTATAACTCCCATCATTACTTAGCTCTCTGTTGATAAGCAATAGCAACTCGCTGTATGTTCTCAGGTTCTGTCTCTGGAAGGTAGCCACAACTTCTTTCTAGTGAATTTTTTGCCTTGAAGGTCCTATTTTGGTTTTCCTTTCACAGCTCCCCGTTGTACCTGTGACCTTATAAAAGGCCTTCTAACCTGCACAAGAGTTACCTGGCGTGGTCCCAGTGCCAGGATGGTCCCTCTCAGGTTATTCTGAAATAAACCTGTCCTGTTGAGCTCATACCTTTGTTTTTTCATCTTTTTCTCCTGGTAGACATCAGTACCACAAGGACTTGGAGGAATCACACCAATGGATTCATTAGCAAAGCCTAGAATCTGAAAAGACCTTGAATGGGAGTTGGGAGATTTGGTTTTTGTCTTTTCTCGTTCTGTGACTGTAGGCAAATATCTTTTTTCTCTAGGTCTCATTTTCCTCCAAAATTAGGATGGTTGTTCAATTTATCACCCTTCCAAGGAGTCCATAACCAACAGCTGTGACATCAGAGAGGCATCTGATAGAAATATTTAAGCTTTTCCCAGAGCTGGTGAATCTGTATTCAGCAATTGTCCAGGGGACTCACCTGCAAGCTTTTAAAAATAACTTTTTAAATCATCTCTAGTCTCCTTCAGGGTCTATGTCTGAGGCCTTTTTATCCTGTTCTTCTGGTGCCCAGCATCTATACTCATTGTGTTCAGTTTTATAACCAGCGAAGGGGAGGGCCTGAAAGCTGGAGAATTATTTGATCTCTCCTTACCTCTGCCTCTCACTTAACCTCTCCTGGAGAAGCAAGAAGTGTTTTTTCTGGATGTTTTAATTCCTGCCAGGCTAGGAGTTCTCAGACAGTCACTCATCAAGGACTGCGAAGGCAGATAGCATACCTGCTGAAAAAGGTACTTCACTTGATGTGGGGGTAATATCTGCCAATGGAGAAGAGTATTCTGGATTGACTAACAGTAGAAAGGAAAACAGAAGAGCAAATCAGTAAGTTAACATTGTCAGAAGCCAATTTTTTTGTGTTTGTATGGGGGAGTATGCTGATTAATTTGAAGTATGACTTATGACACAACACACACAGACAAGCAGGTTAGGTATGGGCCCTTAGCCCTGGCATTCCTTGGGCATATCTAACCGAGACCAGGCAGGAGGCAGCAGGTGATCCCTGTTGTAGGGGCCATCTCTATGTCTTTGACTGAATTCCGGGGGTGTGGAATTTCCTGATAGACAGGGTATTCAGCACATCCGTTCATTAGTCAACTAGAGGAAAAGTTGATCATGCTGACATTTAACTTTAGAAATAGGACAGGCAGAAAACCTTACCAGAGGGAGCATCTATTTCTGCTAGGGTTGAAGATGCATCTGCATGTAATTAAGACACTAGTTAAAAATGAGTGTAAAAAAGTCCAGTGTATCATTTCATTGCGATTTATTTTGTGATCAATATGATAATTAAATAAATGTGTTTTCCATATAAATAAAAAGCTCTGTTCATTAATTTAAATAATATAAAGACAAAGACTTTACCTGATGGAAAGCTTATTTCCGGTAAGATTGAAGAAAAATCTATAGATAAAAGAAAAAAGAGTGAATGGAGTGGACTCTCAACCTTCCACTTTTACTGAGGCTATGCTGGGGACAAAGTTTTTGTGAAACAGGCTAGTTTTATATTTATAACCCCAAGAATAGGCACTTAACAGGACCCCTGACAGTTCCACCTGAAAGGGAGGGTATAGGGGTTGAGCCTGAAGTTGGAAGCAAACCAAAAGGAGAAGATAGAATTAGTCATGTCAGCATACATGCTTGTAGAAGATACAGGAGATGTGACGCTGAATCATAGATCAGTGTGACTGTCCAGGCTTGTCTTTCTGTTCAGAGAGAACTGGGGCAGCCCATCTCCCGATCCTCCACTGCCTCCAAGTCACACCCTCCACTCCTAGGCTAGCCTCCAGGAGAAATGCCTGCCATGAGTAAGTGATGATGTAAATGGCCACTTGGGCCAGTGTGTATTTTCATGGGCTTGATTTGGTTTAATTAGCTGAACAATTTTCCCCCTTGGCCCATTCATCAAGCTGGGCTTCCCAGAATTCATTCACTGTCAGAGGATCCGGAGATGGCCTTTATGAATCAGACCACTATAAACATATTTGAAAACTCAAAATAAAAGATTACTAGAGAATCAAAGAGTTTGACTAAGATGTAGACAACTGTTTAATAAATTCACTTGAAATTAAAATAATTTGTATCAAATCAAGATAGAACCAAAAATAAATTACTAAAATTCAATTACTCATTAAAGTGGTTATAGCAATATCCAAAGATTCTGGAAATAAAAAATTCTGCCTTTACTGTGGTTTTATTTACCAGTTCTTGTTAGAAAAATTTTAGCAGGAGGACTAGTTATTGTCTATCTTCCTAAGAGTTAACTATCCAAATTAAAAGCACATGCCCTGTGATATTACAAATCAAATCTTTCCTAAAATAAAACCTGGTTCCCAGTTCTTTTAAAGAAAAGATATCGAACATATTTTAACTTGTACAATTGAGGTCCATTTGGAAGAATGTCATTGTTTTTCTTAGGACATAATGCAGAGGTAGCTCAGAAGGCACTGAGGCTAACGTGGCATTTTTGCTCTAGATTGTTACATTCAGATGACATTGAATCTTTATTTCTGAGTGCTTCTATGACAACTGGAGCATTTCCTGGCATTTCCTGCCATTGCCAATGTGGCTATGCTATCAGTTTTTACCCCTCCCTGTACCTTCACCTTACCTGCAACCTGTTGCTTCTCCTAATACACAGTCTGTAGGGAGGCCAGAGAGCCAACTTTTGAGTCATTATGTGTGTGCAGAAAGCAGGAGAGACAGGCTCTGTAGATTACCTCCATGTACATTCAATCACTTTACTTGGATTTGAACACTGGGATCTCAGTTTGGCTGCATAGAGGCTGCCCTTGTCTACTTCCAATTTCTGGACTATTTACCAAGGGTATATTCCAGTGAATGACTCCTTTTTTTTTTGTACCAGGGATCAAACTCATGACCTGGCAGTTGCCTGGCAGGTGTTTGTACCACTGAGCTAAACCCTCAGCCCCCTATTGAGTACTCCTAGACAAATAGAGTGTAACTGTCTTGGTAGAATCTTAACACAGTGATATCCCTGAGATCAGTAGTAAGAGGATGAGTCAGCAGAAAATTTATTACCAGTTGAAGGGACCAAATCTGTGACTGAAATTGAAGTAGGATCTGTCAAAACAAGCAAAAGTTAAAGGAAATTATACTTTAATACAATCCTTATCAAGAAAGCTCATTGGTAAAGATTTTTTTTTTGGAATCAAACTCAGGACCTTGTGCTTTCCAGGCAGGCACTTATGTCACCGAACTATGGGTAAAGAATTTTTAAAAATGACACCATTAAAAACTGTGCCCCAGGACATTTTATTATGCTTGGTTCCTATTTGATTCTTCTGTTCTCTGTTTCATTTAGCTAAAAGAAATAAATACTGGTGAGTTAGTACAAGGGGCTAGGATTCAAATGCCCTGTGTTCTAGTTTGTTTGTGCAATGGGATGTGTGACTTTGGGCACATTATTTCCATCTCTGGGCTTCAGTTGCTGCATATGAAAGGCTGTTCTATGGGCCAGCAGGATCTCTATCCCACTGTTAAAATTCCAGACTCTCCAGAATCCACTGAAACAAAATATGCATTTTAAGGACATATCGAAGTGAGTTAGGCACATAATAAACCCCGAGAAGCATGTACCTGGAAGGATAGGAGGACACAGAGAGCGTATGACCACATAGAAGGGTGGTCCTATCCTACTCAGCCCCAGCCTACTGCTGCCTTGAAGAAATCATGCTACTATGGTTCATTCTTAGATTTCTCAACCAAAACTGGCTATCTTGGGCTGCAGATATAGTTCAGTGATGGAGCACTTGCCTAGTATGCACAAGGCCTTGAGTTTGATCCCTAGGACAACACACACACACACACACACACACACACACACACACACACACACAACACACATACACACACACACACACCTGGAAATCTGGATGACTGATTATGATGATTTTGTAGAACTAGAGATCATTCATGGGGCCTCACACATGCTAGGCAAGAACCATACCACTGTGTTGTTGGTGGTCTGAATTCTTACATGAAATCTTCCATTCTTAATATGTTGGACTAAGATAATTGACACATGCATAGACAAAATTAGGTTGTGTGAATGTAAACTCATTAGTACATCAAGACTGACCTATGGGCAGCCCATGCATGACTTTTTTTCTAAACAATCTCTAAGGATTTTTCCAGTTCTTAGGACAGTGTTACCATGATGCACCATATCTACCTTGTCCTTGCCAAGACACTTGGTGGGCAATTTTCACAGATCCAAGCACAAAAAGAGAAATATATGTCATCATCTGATTTCCTTTAGAATTTAGTTTCTGTCAAGCCTGACAGAGGAATTTTGAGATTTTGAAAATACAGACCAAGGGTCACTTTTATAACTGCTGACACTTCAGAGAAAACTCCAGTTGAACTGCCGTGTGTTGAACAGGTATTTCTAACTTATTTAGTCACACAGCAATCAACTCAAGCCCCAGGATGGTCCCCAGTGTGTCCAGAAGAAGTTTACAAAAGGACACATGTGTAGAACACCTAGTTTCTAGGACACAGGTCTCGGAGAGTGCTTCCATCCTCCCTTTCTATAGATTAGAGAAACAGAGGCTCCAAGGAGTAAGAGAACTTGCTCCAACTCTGAGTCCTATATCACACTGTCAGTCAAAAGGTCCCAGTGATCAAAGAAATTTGAGTAAAATTGAACTTAACCAAATTTTAAAAAGATGTTTTATTTAGAACTTACCAGAGCCTCTAATGTGCTAAGAACCCAAATTACCAAAAGAGGATGTGATATTTCTCCCTTTTATCTAACCATGCAAATCCTCATTTGAAATTTGCTATCACTGAAGTAGTGTGTTGTGTTGTGAAACATGCTTGGGAGATGTGATGGTAATCTGTTACTCTCTCAAGATATAGATTATAGATCTCAAAATATAGATCTATAGATTCTATCTATAGATATAGACTATAGATGGAAATATATAAATATAGATGGGAAGTCCTATAAAATAGTTGAAAAAACAAAACAGAAGAAATACACTGAAGCCATGTCACTAAATGTGATCTCAGAGACTAGCTGTCACACCACAGCATAAAAGACAGGGAGGCACACTTCCCTGTGCTCAAAGGCAGACCATCTATTCAATCATTTCAATCGATGGATATATAAGCCCCTTACATTAGTCCTTGACATGAACTTCACACTTAGTTTCACCTGAGATAAAACTACAACCCTAATCATATTGAAGGCAATCTGTACATGTCTGATTTATAGAAGGCAAGAAAGAAAATATTACCAGGTGAACTGGGCATTTCTCTGGTTGACGCTGAAATTGTAAAACAAACAGAAACTTAGAAAACACATTTTACTTAGAACTTCAATACCTCAGATACATTTAAAGTAGATACAAAATAATCTCTGAAATACGAAGCTAAAAGTTTGTGCAATGGGATGTATGATGTTGGGCACATTCTTTGCATCTCTGAGCTTCAGGTGCTGCACATGAAAGGGTACTCTATGGACCAGCAGGATCCATAGACAGAAACACAGACAAAAATGTTTGAAGGCAGGAACTGAGAAATGTTCCTTGGGTGAGGGGAAAATATTCCATGATGGATCAGGAAGGCCATTCAATGCAGTGATGTATAAATATTTCCTGGGCAAAATACTGGGAACCTTCTTAACTCTGACTTTAGGCTTCTATCATTAATTTCTCATTTTTAAAAATCAAAGTAGGTTTATAACACATAAGCCTGATCACTAGAGGAAAATGGTTCCTTAGCATAATAAAGCATATTATGACCCCTAATTCAACATTTTTTTTCTTCTCACAATCTATCATGAACTGCACAAGTGATTCCAATCTTCTCACTGGAATGTTTGATGGTAATCTACATTTGGTACTAAATCTTCAAGACCTGGACTTGTGTCTGGCACACAGATAAGTATCTGTTGAATAAGTGGGGGAATTAATTAAGTTCAATTATTTTAGTCTCTGACCTATAAATATACTGGGTTGTGGATGTTTTCATTTCATTTGATTTCCAATTTACTTTTTTTAGCCAGAGAAAGAAGAAAACATAGATAATGCAGAAATTGAGGTGAATTAAACAAACAAATAAACAAACAACAACAATAAAGAAAGCCGTTTCAACCGGAGAGGTAAAAGGGAGATAGTACTGCAATAGATGAGAGGAACCGGGTTTTGTTTGTGGAATTCCTAAGAGCAGCACTATGAGGTCAGCTTTAAAGTTCAAAAAAGATGTGGGTGGCTGTTGGAGAGAATCTGGGACGTCCCTGAAGATTACTATTAGAAGATTGAGAGCTAAGAGCTCACAGAAGTTGGGTGAAGCCCAGGGCCAATCAGCACATTAAGAGCCTGAGAAAGATGGAGCGGTCTTGTGGAATCAAGGTCAGGCTGTGCTCCGCTGTGCTACACATCTTTATACATCGCTGCTCGAGTGAGCCTTGGAACTTTGATAATGGGCATTGGGCATCTGTTTGAAGGATGGGAATAGGACCCAAACCTCCTCATGTTAATTTCCAGATTCTCACCAAAGCCATAGCTCTGCCAGCCTCAAGAGAAAGCTGGGGTGCGTACCTGAGCAGATGACCCCGGCGTCCTCATGGTGGCCACAGTTGTGTACAGACAAGCCCAGAGGGCAGCACTGGCCTAATGACGTCTCATTGCCTTGGTACCGCACATCATCCAGAAGGATGTGTCCAGCCCCCTCCCCAAAGTGGCCACCCCCCGGGGCACTGATGCTTTCTCCACAGCCCAGCTGCCGGCACACCACGTGGGCAGCTCTGAGGGCCCAGAGATCATCGCACATGGTACCCCACGTGCCATTGTGGTAGACTTCAACTCGCCCTTCACATCCTCCCATCCACCAGCCTGATGTCAGAAAGATCTGAAGAACACTCAGGGGTTATTGTTGGAGTATGACAGGTAACTATGAATGAATTTTTCTTTAGTTATTAATATAACATACCCTAAACAACAAAGCTTTAAAAATGTTTGCATCCTGCTTCTAAGTTTCAGAGAACTAAGTCAAACTAGTGTTTATAAACGCAGTGCCTGGGTTATCTGGGCTATTTATGATTCCAGTGTTTTCTTCCGTCATTCTCATCTTTCAGTTGAAATATGGTAATTACAAGGCTAAGGATAAATATCAATGTTGGAGCTAAGCCATCAAATTGATAGGAATTGACGTCAGGCTGCCTATTTTAAGTTTTCATTGTTTCCTTCAGGTCAAATTTGTCTATTGGCCCAAGTAAACTAAAAACATTTTATAAGAACTAGAAAGTATCAATCCCGGGTTTCGGCACCAAAACAAAAACAAAAACAAAACAAAAAGAACCAGAAAGTCGATGAGCAGCAGTTGGCCCTGCGTAGAGCCTCTCCTTGCATTTAGCACTTATTTTCTCAGTCCTGGGGAAAGCATGGATCTCGGTAAATACTGACACCACATCTGTATCTGCAGCGAGTCCCTTAGAAAGATCTGATAGCTAAGAAGCTTCAAGACAAACAATGAGAAGTTTACCAACGGTGGGAGCTGTTTCTGCCAAAGCTGGTTCAACTTCTACAGCTGAAAGAGAAAAGCCCACACACTCACATTAGTGATGGTGAACTTCAATAAAATGCCACAAGCAATTGGGTGCACAAGTTTGTGTCAGTGCCAGTGTGGTAGGTTAGAGCTTCCTGGCACAATCACACTGCCACAGAGAGATCAGACGTGGGACAGTGTCTTTCCCTTTCCTGAATTACTAATGCTTAGTGGAAGCATCTCTCTGAACCTTACCAGGAAGTGTCACTGATGGTCATTCAGGAGATTTGAGGCTACAAAATAGGGAAATGAACATTGGATACCATTTTATTGAGAGATTTTTATCCCTATATACTGTGAAAGATTAAATATTCAGATTTAAAAGAAACATTGACTGAAAGAGTAAAATAGAAATAGTCTCTCCTTCACTGACATCTTTGCTCCATTGAGGCCCCTCACCTCTGCCTGGTCTTCTGAGGAGGTTATGGTGGCGCTGGGCTGTGAGGTCCCTCAATGGAGCAGGAATCACAGATGTTCATTGCATGGAGTTAATTAGCAACAAAAGGTACCAAACAGGGATTAAAATTTAATTTATATTTTTGAATGGGCTTGACTTGAGCAATCCATAATCAAAAGGGTATTTAGATAATGTAGCTTTCTTTCTTTCTTTTTTTTTTTTTCTTTTTGTCTTTTTAGTTTTTATCGGTACCAGGGATCAAACTCACGACTGCCTGCTTGCAAGGCAGGCGCTTTTGCCGCTGAGCTAAATCCCCAGCCCCGATAATATAGCTTTCTTGGAGAAATTTCTGAGCTTGACACACACAAAAAAATCATTCCTGAAAGTTACAACTGCCCCAGAGCAGGACACAGCTCTCTGATTCAACATATGTGTGTGCTCATGGGATCTCTTTCTTCTTAGAGACATGGGAATAGGCTGTGAAACTGGGCAGGGGACCCTCTTCTCCTGACACCAGGGTGACAAACATCTAAGCAGTTACCAGGATGTGGGACTTGGAGTACTAAAGCCTGGACAGTCCCAGGCAAAGCAAGACAAGGCATTCACCCCACCTGAGCCCCCTGTCAATTCAGAGTCAAGCTGCATGGCTGAGAGGGGGCCCGGGAATGGGAGAGTTCACAGAGGTACCTGAGCAGATGGCTCCAGCATCCTCGTGGTGCCCACAGTTGTGCACTGACAGGCCGCGGTGGAGGCACTTTCCCAGGTTGATCTCTCCACCTGTACACTGCACGTCGTCTAGGAAGATAGGGCCGGAGCCATCGCCAAACGGGCTGCCCCTGGGGGCTGCCAGGGCCGTCCCACAGCCCAGCTGCTGGCACACAACTTGGGCAGCAGGCAGGTCCCAGAGGTCATCACACACAGACCCCCAGGTGCCATTGTGGTGGAGCTCCACACGGCCCTCACACCGGTTCCTGCCTTCAGCCAGCCTCACCACCGGCAGATCTGCAGGAGCCAAAAGCTGAGTTTGCATGAAAATCTTCCTTCAAAGTGAAATGAGGCAATTGCACCACGCTGGAGAATCCTACCCTGGTAGGAAGCCTGCTGTCGGGGTAGCATGTAGCTATCTAGATAGGGAGATGCTGATGCTGGACCTTTGTAAGCACGGGAACAGCTATGACTGCTTTCTGCACCTGCAATTTAGCATGTACCCTAAACTACCTTTCTGCACTGGACAGTTTCATTATGGGACTGCATTCCCCATGTTGGCTTGTGGAAGACTCACTTAAAAATAACATTCTTTGGGTGTCATTTTTATGTTGCTTTTCTAAATTTGAAATAATGCTGCCCAATCAGACTGCATTTTTAAACGAGGTCTCTCAAAGAACACGCTGAGAATCTCAGAACAAATTTAGTATTATTTTACTTGAATTGACAAAAATGTGAATTATATCTTTGAGAATGATGTAGGAGGCAGAGGGCTGGGAAATACAGCAGAAGATAGAGTATTTCTGCTGTGAGAGGACTCAACTGTGTACATTTTTTGGATTTTTTGGATCCGAACCAGATGAAGTTGCTTCTCAGGGTCTGAGCCTCCAAGATTGGTGCTGATTCATGGGGTTCCTTTTTAAAGGTGCTACAAGAGTACATCCTGCAGTGTGGTTGTGGTTCTGGCCTTTGGATGCTGTACCCAAGGTGATGGGGAGTTGGGTTTATCTTTGAAAAAATTACTACTAGAAGAACTCATCCTATAATCCCTGGCCTCTAATAAACACAGCTACTTTTCCACATAGCACCAGGGCCACAGAGAAAATTTTTCTACATTTCTGTTATTTACAATCACCAGATCTCAGCTTCAGAAAAAGTCACAAAATGTAAGAATGGAAAAGGTACCTATTGGATTGAAGACATGTGGATGCTCTCTAGGAATTGAAGAAACTGTACATGTAAAAAAGAAAAATAGTACAATCTGAGCAAAGGCGGTGAAATTTCATATTCTTTTCAAATACCATCTAAATAATGTAGGTGAGTTTACCTTTAAAAAACCCTACCCAGCCTTTATCAAATAGTCACACTTAAAATCTGATGGTAGCTCATGAATGTGTGTGCATTACTTTGATTAAAAGGAAGGCAGATCTTTTGCAAATGGGAAAGATGTAGGGAGAAGATTTAAAGTGGGTCATATACATGTACAGACTCTTCATGATGAATGTAATCACTATGTACTGAATACATATACTAATAAAAATTAAAAACTTAAATAAATACCTTTGATTATACTCTAAAAAATTAAATAAAATTCATTTTGGGATAACAAACTTATGACTCCATAGACAGGTGATTGAAAATGTAAGAAATGAGATGGGGACTGATTGGAGAAAGAGGGTCCTGGGAGGAATATCCTTGGGGATATCTTGTCTCCCAGCTCATTTCTTTCACTCACTGGTTCTCTCCTCCCTCTCTGCCTTTCAGTGAGTAGCTTTTTTCCCCACAATGATGTTTCTGCCTCATGATAGGCCCACAGCAATGGAGCCAACTGACAGTGAACTGAAACCTCTGAAACTGAGTTAAAACAAACCTCTCCTCTTTTAAGTGGTCATTCTCAGATATTTTTTCACAGTAATGGAAAGCTGACTAACACACCTAATCTTGCATCTCATAGCCCTGTCTTCTTCTTACATTCCAATCACAGATTTTTCTAGATGAACTCAGACACTCCCAATGCCAGTAGAAGTAGTTGTTTGTAGGCCCAGCCTGAGATTTTGGAGAAAAGTGGAAATGGATGGTGTGTCTAGGAGGAATGCTTCTTTCCACAACAATGCTTGCGTATTTCTGACCTCAAACTCTACAAACAGAAGGCAACTGAAGAAAGAAGAAAGGATTACCTGTTGATGTGGGCACCTGCATAGGCTTTGGAAAAGATGCTGAGAATGGATAAAAAGCAAAAGAAGAAAATTATACATTTTGGTTAAGCATTAAGAAGAGGCTAACCATTATGTATTGCATTTAAATCTTAGTTGATTGTCTCTAGTACAGAGTCAAGGCTCTCCAGATTTTGGTTCATTTACTGACAGTGTCTGATTCTAAATTGAATTATTTTCTCTGTAAGGTGCATTTGTTTCATTCTCCAGCTGATGTGTGAACAGTAAATATAAAGCAACTCATACAAGCTGAGGAAAACCAAAGGTTGATGGTTAATAGTTTCTTTTTCTTTCTTTCTTTCTTTCTTTCTTTCTTTCTTTCTTTCTTTCTTTCTTTCTTTCTTTCACAGGGCTTCACTGTAGTTGGGCTGGCATGGAGGCTACTATGTAGCCCAGGGCAGCCTTGAATTCATGGTGATTCTCCTGTCTCAATCTCCCAGGTGATGGGATTACAGGGGCATACCATCACATCTGGCTGATTTTGTTTTTTTATTTCAAAAAGACATTTTACACTCAAGAGAGCATCCTTTAGAGATCTCTGCTATGAAGAAAAATCCACCCTGGTGCTTCCTCTGAAATACTGAGGTCACTTCTTTCTCCTAGTTCTCCTTTACGTGTTTGACTTTTCTCTCAAAGACATGCCATGGAAGATCTGCTGGCTAAATTTGAAACATAACTACTATTTAGGCCAAAGGAGCCAGGAACAACTGAAAAGTGTTGTTTTTAACATCTTCATCCTTAACAATTGTATAGGTGGACTGGCTTTTTTGAATCACCAATGTACAATGCCTTGTTCTGGGAATAATCTGCACCCTGCCTGGCCTCCAAGGCTGGCCTTGAGTTACAATGGGTAGAAAGCATTACATAGACATAAATCCCCATGGTGCTCAGGTGTAGAATGAGGTCAAAAGGTAACATCTAAGTAGCAAGTCCTACTGTTGAGCAGGTGTTCCCTCAGCCTTCTGCACTGGGAAATCTCTCACAGCTTTCAGTTAATGAGTCCCCATCCTCCTTGGCTCCATCATCAGGGGGAAACTGAGGTGTCCTGTGGTTCAGAGATTTGCTAGAGGACTCAAGGCTGATAAATCATGAAGACATGGCATTGGGCCCCAAACCATAATCTATTGCCCAGGGTTAAAGCTGATTAGTTAAGAAGAACTAAAATTACCTGAGGTTGGATAAATCACAGCCACTGATGGTGTTGGGTAAGGCAGAGAGTCTGTGAAAGACATAGGAAGTATGGGTAGGTTGTTTCCATTACACTGCATTCCAGAGGTAGACTTACTCAAATCAGAAAGATAAATGTCTCATTTGGGGAGAAACTTCACCCTCATCTGGACATCTAAGAATGCCTTTGAGTTACCATGATTATAAACACGTTTTGGGTCACTGGGCTCATTTTTTGTCCTGCTGCCAGACACGGCAATGTCATTTTCTTTTCCTTGACAAACTGTGACTACAGGAATTGTGGCCTTGTGTAGAGTATCTGCTCAGTTGGTTTGGTTTTGTAGTTCTGTCTCTGTCTCTGTCTCTGTGTGTGTGCATGTGTGTGCATGCGTGCGTGTGTGTGTGTGTGTAGGTCCTGCCTCCCAGAATAACTGTCTATTTGTAAAGAATAGAACCAAATTATCTTAAACACACTCAGTGCAGGGAGGGTGTGGAAAGGCCCTAGGTGGGCTATAGCACTGGGCCAGGTATTCCAGGGGGAGATGAAATAGGACTTGGAGCTGCTGCTTCATGACTCTTATGGGTGTCTCTGATCTATACATGACAGCAAGGGCTCTGGTTTCCAAACCTCCTGGACCTTTAATCCCTACCCTTGTCCTGTGATTCCTACTGGGTTTGTGGCTTCAGTTCCTGCTTCATTCAGAACTCTGATTCTGTCCCCTGACTTCTCTCTTCTCAGAACTGTCCAGCACCTCCACCTTCCCTATGCCTTTGTCTTATCCTATCTAGCTAATAAACCATTTAGCCTCTTCCCAGTAGAATGTAGAGATAGGTGGGAATTTTTGACTTCAACTAATGAATTTACTTGGAGACACTCAATTGGAAAAAAAGGAATCATAAGGGTCCTGGGCTAGAAACTGGGCTTCCAGCTGTTAGGAAATTTCTTTGTGTTACCTATAAAATGAGGGAACATTCCCAGAGGTGTGACTCATCACTGGTGGGACTGAGATAACTTGAGGAGTGCTTCTCCTATTTTAAGACTTGCTTATTTATTGTATTACAATGTGAAATTCATGTTTAGTTCTACTCTGAATAAGGGTATTTTCAAATAGAAGTGGGTATTGATTAGATTACAAAAGTCACTGTTTATTTATAAAATATTTTAAGTATACTTTGATTTCTTTGTTATGTATTGTCTTTTGTGGCAGCTGGTCCTGACTGTTTATAAAGGGCAAGTTATCAAATTTTCTTTTAAAAGGACTTTATGTAGTGAAGCAGAAGAGCCAGTTTAAAGGAAAGTATTACGATGATTATAGTGTGAGTAACAGATGAGCATATGGGGCTCTGGATGGCTGATGCCTGAGAAACAGTGCCTCGGGATTGCCCAGGATCCCTTGCTTCCCTGCAACCAGCTTTCCAGGAGGCTCTTGGAGCCAGAATGTCACCAGTTCACCTTGGGCTCAAAACCAAGACCCACCTGAGCAGATGACACCGGCGTCCTCATGGTGGCCACAATTGTGGATGAACCAGCCACTGTGCAGGCACTGCCACAGCCTGGCTTCTGTCCCCAAGCACTTCACATCATCCAGGATAATGGGGCCCTCTCCTCTCTCGAAATGTGCTTGGCGGAGGGCCGCAATGGCCCTGCCACAGCCCAGCTGCTTGCACACCACCTGGGCATCATGGAGGTCCCAGCTATCATCACACACTGTGCCCCAGGTGCCATTATAGTGCAGTTCCACCCGACCCTCACAGTGGTGGCTGCCTTTGGTGAGCCTGAGGGCCACATCTGGGAAAGACAGACATGTTCTATCACCTCTTTGCTATTGCTAGAGGGCAACAGGCATTTCTGCTGACTCTACTCACTTCTGAGGGTTCTATCCTCACACTTGGGGAGAGAACCTGCGGCTCTGAACCAGTTGCAAAAGCACCTTGGGTTTGCTCTACAACAGCAGTGTAATTGGAGGGAGGGATACTTTTAAGTTTGTTTCCCATACTGGATTGTTTACTTCATGCAGATCAAAGAAGATCCCTACAAGCCTTGTATAAAGTGATGATCATTAAGTATTCCAACACTATTCCTATTTTTAGTGTGTAATAACAATTTTTTTCTTTCTATATGGTTTTGAATAAAACAAGCTTCAAGATAGAGTAAACCAGCATTCTTTCTCAGTACTGTATGCTGAGCCTCTAACATGAGAAGCTATGTGAGGCTATGGTATTCCACAGCAGTGCTGGTGTCAACCAGTTTCACCAAGATAGATCATGTGAACATGAGTAGGCCCCTTCAGGTCAATATTGCCCAGTAGACACAGCCAGCCAGCTTTATCATCATTACCAAGTAGTATCTGAAGGACCTACCTGTGTCGTTCTCATCTTGCACCAGGGACTCATAGGATGCATAGAAACCAACGTTGGTGACAATTGCATCACTATGGAACACCACGGTCATTCGGTTTGATGAGGAGATAAATACTGGGGTTGTCCTGGAACAGAACCTCCCCAGTGAAAAAGACTCACTTTGTGGGCCATCAAAGATTTCAATGAAGTCATACGGACAGCCATAGAAATTTTCCAATCTGTGAAGTGAAATGGGATCATTCAAACTTCATCTGTTAGAGCTCAACTCCTTAGTCAACAATGGCTAGGAAGGGCTGGGAAAACTATAGCTTGGGAGAAGGGATAACCCTAATGACACTGGCAAGATGTACCCTCCTGTTTCTAAACATGGTTTCATTTTTAAAGTCAGAGTTATTTTATGAATATGCATTATAAGCACAGGAGATAGGTTTTAAATTGTACTGAGAGAAAAGTAAAAAAAAAAAAAGTTTTCTTATCCCTGATTTGTTTTCCCTCACTTCATTCTCCTTCCCAGAAGTAGGATCAATGAACAGTTTCTTTTTGTTTCCTTTCAGAGAGGCTCTTTGCAAAAACAGCAGCAGACTGCACTACCATTCACGGTTTTCCTGCAGCTTGCTCCCCAGCAGCACTCACTGTGTGGATGCAATCTGTGTAACTGATGCCATCCTGATGGACAAGTAGACAGTTTCCACTCTGTTGCTACCCTATGAAGATTGTCAGGATGACCTTTACTGCACATGAGAATTTACCTGTGGACCAAATTCCTGGGCTAGAATTGCTAGGTTAAAATATCTATGCACTTAAATTTTTGATCAATATTGCAGTAAGCCATTGGGATAACTCACTCTGGAAAATTAAATAGGAAAGTCTTTTGGGAAGGATCGAGGTAGGGAAGCAGTGAAACAGGTGAGCATAACGAGTAAAGACAATAATGCAAGTGGGGAATATTTACTCACTTGATCACTTCAAATGTAAGTTTGACACGAGCCCCTAGGTCCACTTGTATGTCCCAGACACATTCGATATTTATGGGATACTTTTTAGGATACCAAGGACTGCTGAAAGTGCCTGAACTGTTTGTGAGCAAACCACCACAATGTAAATCTTCGCCTATAAGAAACAGTGAAGAAACTTCATCAGTAAGGGACTCTGCTGGTGTTTTTAGTGGGATCAAGAAGGGATACAATGAGAACAGAAAAAAGAAAAACATGATGATTTTACTAATTGCTAAACAAGTTAGCTTTGGAGTGTTCCCTAAACGCAAAATAACAGTTTCTTAGGCAGATGAAGATCACTGCACATTTGTATGAAGAGAAAGTGATAATGCTGTTGAAAGAGCTCTGTGAACCCATGTGCACAGATAGGTATATACATTCAAAGACAATACAAGAAAGAAAAAAGTGCAAAGACAATTTAAGCTACAGTACCTTTTCTTAGAAGAGCATGTATAGAAAATCCTTAGTTGTGTTTGTTAAAATAAGTAATTAGGGGGATCATTAAACTGATTGAGTACTCTGGGATCTTAATAAATAAGAAAACAGAAATTCAGCTCTATGTAAATGGTCTCAGGCAAAAAATGTAGGGACATTTCCCTGAAATGATCCAAGGAAGCTGCTGCATCATATTCATCAATGGAGTTTTTTTTCTTTTTGACTTGCCTCAAAGTTCATCCTATCAAAGCCTTCCCCTCTGCCGCTCAGTAAAGCCCAAATCACTCCACTTTAGAGCTGCTCAGTTAAAAACTGTTCTCTTATCAAATATGTCACCTTAAAATTTTAACCATTACATGCAAATTCTAGTTGAAGTTATCAAGTTTGCTTAAAGCCTCCAGTTGTGACTGAAATGTTAGATATGGGTGGGATTCGTCAAATGGCCTCACTGCAGAAGCTTCTCATATATAAAAGGAAGAAAGGGTATCCAGCTACTGGGTGAACTAAAATTAAACATAAAGCACATGCATAGCTACATAAAGTGCTTACCTAAAGCTGAAGTACCTGTGAGTGAGCTGTCATCAGTGAGATCTGAAAATACACAGAAAGAAATAATATTATGAACAAGGACCTCTATCCAGAATACTCCTTGAAGATACTCAAAAACATCGGCCCTCAAAAGCTCTAATTTCTTTGTGCCCAGTGAACAGAGATAATTCTGGCTCCTCAAGGGTTAAAATATTTGCACTGCAGTTGTGGACAGGGACGTCCCTCCATGTGACTTGCTGAGGGCTGACCTGGGATTTATATTTCTTTATTTCCTGCAGCATGTCAGAACATCATCACTGTGGCAAGCAGACAGCCCTCTCCACAGACGACACTGACCCAGGGAGTCTCAGTGGCTGACAGATTGAACTCTTCCTCCTTCCCACTTCTGTCCCCATCCTCTGTTGCCCCTTAGTTCACCATGCTGTCAATTCCAAAGAGAGGCACTGCTCTTGTTCACTAACAAGAAAGAGTTTAATTGGACACTCCAACTTCAGATTTTAATGGTAGCCAGAATGCATATTCATCAGGAATCTGCAACTGACTGAGCTGTATGGAAACATTACCTTTTGGTCCTCCATTTTTATTGCCGTCAATACCTATTCAAAGTCAGAATGAGAAATGAACTGAGTTAATATTTTAAAAAAATCAGATACTCTGTTCAAGATCAAACATGTTCTAATCTGGGAAGCTGGGAAACAGCATAGTATCACAACTAAAAGATTAGTGGCCCTGACACTCTATTCTTGGTGGCTCAAGTGGAACTTGGTGTTTATTTGCTTTTGGTCAGTTATCAGACTGACCAAGCTTTTGTAACAAGCGTTGAGGTCAGTTTTTTACATGGGACTTAATTGAGGTGATACTTAGAGTAGTGACCTGCATGTGATCTTGGATGTGCTTCTGTTGCCTTATCAGTGAAGGATGAAAGCTAATAGACTCTAGTTTATTACAGGTTGTGAAGATTAAATGAGAATAGGAGTGCACCAGTTGTAGCATACAGTCGAATAGCATTATGCACTTGTCAGGCACCCTGGTGTCTGTCAGGACCCAGTTGTCATCGCATACTGTGTCCTAGGTGCCATCCTAGGAAACCTCCATCTGGCCCTCACACCTGTGACTGCCATTCACCAGTCACAGGAACATACCTGGGAGACAGGAAAATGGGAGCTACTGAGCTTTGGAGTTATCTTCAATCTCTAAGACCCTCTGCATGTAGAAAACATTTTCCAACCCTTGATCACGTTTCCCTTCTAAACTCCTGATAGGGTGGCCCTGTGTCCTAATTTCCCTGGAATTGTCCTGGTTTATGACTGTTGAGGATCAATTAATACTTATTTAGTATTTCTTAGACTCTCTCAAACTCTTAGAAGTATCCCAGCTAGAGGATATTTTGCATAGCCCATCTAAGCATAAGCCACTCAGAACCCTCAACTGTACTCTGCTGTAGAATCCAAGAAGTCTGTAAGTGTCCTGTATTGGATTCAACTGGAAGCAGTGGGCTACTTTGAGATAGTTTTGCTCCAGAATGATTTCTCCTACTGCATTTTCCCTTCACTTAGAGGAAGGTACTCTCACTTGGACACCTGTTGACACATAGCTGCCAATGCCAGACAGAAGACTTTAACCACCTACTTTTAGGATGCTCTTTGGAGGATGAACATTGGGTGGCAGAGCAAGGGTGAGGATGTGGACAGGTGGCCGAAGTTGTTAACATGGATGTCAGAAGCGAAAGCAGACTGTGTCATCAGACTCCTCTCTTAGGGAAGAAGAACTTGGGTTAGATACAACCTCCCCCCAAGCAGGTGTCAGGATACCCACCACTCTCGCTTTCATCTTGCTGCACAGTGTTGTACAGGGCATAAAACCCTGTGTTGGTGATCATGGCATCACTTCTGAATACTGCAGTCATGACATTTGAAGAGGAGAGGAATGTGAGCTCTGTCCCAGTACAAAACCTGCCCATGGAGAGTGAGGCAGCTTGCTGTCCATCGAACACTTCCACAAAGTCATAAGGGCACCCATAGATGTCCTCTAGTCTGAGGAGATGAAGGCAACATTAACATCCTTGAAGAAATCCGTGCAATCATCGCTGCCTCCTCCTTCCAACTAAGCCTTCCTCTAATTACTAGATTTTTTAGGAGTCAGTGACTTCCTTCCCATCCTTCCTTTCTGGGGCTGCTTCCATCCATCAGACTCCTGATCTATTTTACTTCATCTGTTCAGCAGACTTCTACCTGGTGTCCTTGCTTTCAGCCTCTCCTACTCAATTCCTCTCTACCTTGAGTGTCCTTACAGTGATGGTAGGTGTCCAAAAGGTTCTCGTTGATAAAACCTTAAGGAGAGCCTAAGAAGGGAGAAATCCTGACAGCATAAATAGCTACAGGTCCTGTTAAATGGTAAAGCGATCCTTTTACCAAAGTCCCAACTGCCTGGTTTAAACCTACTGTTTTCACAAAATGTTTCATCCAACCTGGATGATGAGAGGACCTAGAATCCTAACTTTGTTCTCTAGCTCAGTCACCATAAATATATATTGTTTTTCTTCATACCACCTTTCATTTCATCACAACTTGAAATTGTCCACTGAATTACTGATTCATTTGAATACTATTTGTCTTTTAGAATGTGAACTCAGGAGGGTAGAAGTATTGTCCATTTTGTTTGTTACAGGAAGCCTATCCCTAGATCATGACACAAAAATTCAATAAATAAATGTTGAAAGCATATTAATATTTATCCATCATGCTACAAATATGAAATATGCACATTTGCATCTAAACAGTGTAAGCAGCCTTCAGTGCCTATATTATGTTTTCATTGTGCAGTATACACAGAAATCAACGGACATAACTGCATTTCTCACATACATTAATTAGGTATTGGATTGGAAAACCTTTTACTATGGAACACATCTATTTCAGTGCATCAAAATCCAAAAATTCTAAAATTAATCTATTTAAAAAATGAATAAATCATGATAAAAATTTTGTGTACATTTATAATAGAGTAGCAGTAACAAATGGGAAATTAAAATGGAAACCAACTCTGAAGAATCCCTGAGCACACAATACAAGTAGGTCTCATAAATGACTTCAACCTTGCTTGGTTTTCAAATACTGTAAGCAAAACTTAACTTGAAATATTTATTATAAATGCTTGGGTTAATAAAAAGACACCATAAGCCCAACCAGAAATAGTTCACAAACTTGTAATTATATAACTAGAGACTTTCCAATGGACAAATCAAATGAAGCAATTGTGTAATTTTAGCCATGTAAATATTTTCTTTTTCTTATTATATATCTTGTAGAACCTTTTCCCTTGGGGAACCAGGAAGGATCTGAAGTGAGAACTGAAGCCCTTAAGGAGAGTGAATAGAGAGACTTCAACCCAGAAGAAAGAGGTGCAAGCAGCACTTTCTTCCTGAACCCCAGCTCACTGCATGGGAAGGGCAACTCACCTTCAGACACAGGCTGCCTTCTAGAGACCCCCAAGACCTTTATGGAGAAATGTACAGTGGAATGGAGCAGTGGACACTGCAGGCTTCAGGGCCTGGTGAGTTACTTGGGTTTAGGTATTTCCCAGGAGAGGATGATTGGGTGGTAGCCATCTCAGAAATGGGCCAGCTGAAGTCAGAACTCAGAATGGCTGTGAGTTCCATCTCGTGGCTCCCAGTGACAGGGTCAGGGAGCCAAGTTCAAGTTGGCAGGAGGTCAAGGAGCCGAGTTTAAGCCAGCAGGACTACTGCAGGCTGAGCAAATCTGGTTCCAGACTTACGGCCAGAAGCCAGCCTGAACTTTAGTGGAACTAAAGATACAGGCTTGCTGGGATTAATCAACACCCTGCTGTAAAGCTACAATTGACTTGCTGAAATTAATCAACATGGATCTGGACTCCACCCATATTATCTACCAGTGAGAGCAAAGACACACCTTGAGGTGGACATTTTTTCTTCTTTTTTGTCTTTTGTGCTTTGTTTGGTTTTGTTTTTCTTGATTATTTGTTTTTTTATGTGAATGTGAACATGTTTTCTAGATTTTTGTCTTGCTCTCTTTCTTTCTTTGTCTTTTTTCTTTCTTTCTCTATTTCTTTCTCTCCCGTCTTCACCAATTTCCCAAAATTTGTGTGATCTTCCTTTGTCCTCCAGTCTTATTTCTAATCTGTTTTCTGCTTCTATTTTTCTACTTTTCTCCCTAACCCCTTTTAAGTTTTTTCACCCTAGGGTAAAATCACCATTTTGAAGATTTTTTTTATTGCACACAATTTCTGGTTCATTTTAGATTTTGCTATATAAACACAAACCTAGTTTATATGGTTAAAGGTGGCAAAATAATAATTACCTCATTGTGTCATTTTCTATACTGTGTTTGATGCTATTGTCACTGCTGATTGTGCCACCTTAGCCAAGTAACATAACTGTTCCAATCAGTTGTTCTTTCTGATATACCAAGACTGAGATTGCTTAAGGGTCATAAAAAATGCTATAGGATAGTGCAAAGAACCAGAGACTGGACCAAATAGGCAGCAACTTTTCATCCCCAGTAAATTGAAGAGGTAAGATTTTGCAGCAGATTCAAAACCCAAAAGTCAGCTGTCTCTGGAAGACATCTCTGAGAAGCAGTCATTTCCTAAGGGTTCTAAATATTAGCAATAAAGCTACTCACTATAGGCAATTTACAAGCATCAACCCAGGAATTAAACTTAAAAAAAAAAAAGAAAATGAAAACACTTAAACAAGATGTAACCCAAGTTTTTCAATTTACCGAAGGCAAACTCAGGGGGCAGTGAGGTAACAAAGGCTCTAGAAAAATTCAATTTCTATTTCTAGAAAATTTCAATTTCTAGAAAAATAATTTCTCAGATGACTACAGAGATAGTAACTATTATAAAAGATATGCTTAGTGATTCTAGAGAAGATACATATAGAAAAAGATGAGCTTAGCAAAGCAATGGAAACCATGAATGCCCAACATAAGAAAGACATGGAATTTTATTTATTTCTCATTTTATCATGGTTAGTTGGAGTTCTGTATACTTCACATATGTATATGTCAAATTCATTTTGTCTGGAAAATCTTCTACCATGACTTCTTTGAACAATTTTTAAATGTCATATTCACTATCTCTTATTTTTTCAGTCTTTGATTAATCTTATGTTATTTTTCTTTGCATCATCTAGCAGCTGCTGATTGATTTCTTGTGTCTGTTGCTATTTTTATTTTTTCTTGCTATTTTTAAGAACTCTCTCTTTTCATGATCTCCAACCACAAGCACATCTTCTGTATCTGAAATTCTGTCCTCACATTGGTTCATTCTGATGTGCATACTTTCAGTGGGATTTTTTAATCTCCAGGATATCTGTTTGATCTATTTCATGGATTCCATGTCACCAATTTATGTAAAGCAAATATTGATGGCCATGAAAAATCAAATAATCACTAAGAAAATTGAAATAGGTAACTCCAATATCCCACTATCACAAATAGAAAATCCAACTAGACAAAAAAAGAGTCAAAATTATCCCATGTATGTTATCAGACCATAGTGCAATGAAATTGGAAGTCAATGGCAAAAGAAACCACAAGAACTTTGGAATCACATGGAAATTAAATAGTACCTTCCTGAACAACCAGCAGGCCACAGATGAAATTAAATAAGTAATTAGATGTTTATACAATTAAACAATAATGCCAAAATGTGATGGTTAGTTGTATAAACTTGAGAAATTTAGAAGCTTAACTAAATCAGCTCAGCAATTCTACACCCTACGATGTAGAGAAATCACCCTAGGATATAAAGGGAAAGTGAGGCAGGACAGACTGGCTTCTGTTTTTGGTAGGAGCTGAAGTCTTTGCCTTCAGCTTAGGGATCATCTCCTAGCTTCCAGCACAGACTCACTGGTTTTTGTCATAGACCCCTGGCTTCTAGCACAGACTTCTTAGCTTCCACTATGGTGTCCTTCAGCCTTTCTTCCTAGACTCTTCAGCTTTCCAGCATAGATCCTTCAGTCTTCTGGATTAGACCTTGCAAGTCTCCTGACACAGACTTGCACAGACACTGCAGTGAACTCCAGAATTAGGACTGAAATCTTCCATCTCCAGTGTACAGTCACCCTTTTCACTCTTCTTCATCCAACTCTGAGGGTGACCATTGTAAGCTGTTCTAATTTCTAATACATTAGTATGACTTATGCAATATATTTCTGTAGTCAAGGTCTGTACTGACTGATACACAGTACAGTGTACTGGAATTTATGAGATATGATGAAAGTAGTCCTACAAGAGTAATTTATAGTGGTGAGTTCTCATATCAGAAAAACAGAACAAGCTCAAATAAACAACCTACTGTTGAACTCCAAGATTCTAGAAAAAGAGCAAGTAAAGCCCAAAACTGTTATGTGGGAAGAAATTATACAGATTAGAGCAGAAATTAATGCAATGGAGACTAAGAAAATAATACAAAAAAAGAAAGAAAATAATACAAAGAATCGATGAATTGCAGTGATATATGTGTACCCATGTTGATAGCAGCACAATTTGTAATAGCCAGATCTTGGAAACAACCTAAATGCCCATTGATGGGAGAACGGGAAAAAAAAAAAAGATGTATTTTTATACAATGGAGTACTAGTCAACCATAAAGAAGGATAAACTGGAGACTTTCATAGGTAAATGGCTACAACTTGAAACTATACTCATTATGAGTGAAATAAATAAGATATACATGTATAAACACTGTATTGTCACAGTGTAAGAAGCTGAAAGAAACAAGGCATGTATATGTATACTAAAACATAGGATAGTTATACTACTGATTTCTCTGAGTTCATTGAAGAGAAATATTTTTGCTGGCATTATTTGGATAATTGAATGCAGTTGTGCTCTGGTTGAAGGATTTGGGTATGACAATGTACAATGTATCTACCATTGTTGCCCCTGATTTATGTGCTTTGAAATATTATTTTAGTTTTTTTCTTTTTATCATTGAAATAAAATGGATTTGAAAAAAAACGAATTGAACAGTTGATTCTTTGAAA